GATAAAAATCTATTCTTTTGGAAGTCCATTCTTTCCTGTGGACTTTTTGGACCCTTCTTGTTCCTCTTCGGGAGAAAAATCAGCCCCCCAGAAGCCTTCTGTGGCGGGCTGTCACTGCACGTGAGTGGACACGTGGACGGATGCTGTCCGGTCGCCGTATGTGTCGCTGTGTATACACGTGCACGGTCTCAACAACAAAATTAACTTAAAAGATTTTAAAGAAGAGACACACGAATAAATCAAAATTGAAGAAGAAAACTCGGTGTGGAGCCCAGTTCGACTCTGACCAGTGTCGGTGAGAGCGCTGTGAGTCAGGGTGGGCTGTCCGGCCACTGGTTGAAGGCAACATGGGTACGTGTCCTGTCTTAGGGGGATCCTGCACCTTAAAACCAGAAAGCATAACCCAAGGTGTACCAACGACTCCACCAGGGCTCCCCTGATAAACACCCATAACTGTGAAACACAAACGTAAAACCACACCCCAGCAAGCATGGCCCTGGGCTTTCTGAACCGAGAGCCTGATGGTGACACTTACGAGAACCTGTACTTGTCCCCACTGAGGAGCTTCTTTGAAAAGACGTTTTGCAAACTAGAAACGAAGAAAAGAAAGGGTTACATCTCGATGCACGTCAGGGAACATCGATGGTCCGCGTGTCTGCTTCTTACTAAGCGATGGTGATGACCGTTGGCGGCAGGGAGCAGCCCCGGGCACTGCCACAGCACCTCCCTGCGAGGTGGCCTCCGTGCCTGACCTATGTGACAGGGGCGTGAACTGAGATGCTCCACGGCGCAGTGACCTCTCGGAGGTCACATAGCATTTCCGACTCGTAGACACCCAAGTCTGTGTTCTGAGCACTGCACCGGCCTTTCTGCCTGTGTCCCCCTCCCCCCAATGTGCCGGAGTCCTGGCCCCTGTCCTTGTGGATGTGACCATGTTTGGATATGGCATTTTCTTGGTTAAGTAATGAGGGCATACCAGTCCTGGGTGGGTCTGAGTTATAAGAACAAAATAGACACCGCGAGGCACACACGGTGAAGAAGGTCAACAGTGAAGACCTCTTACAAAGCCAGGGACGCCAAGGGTCACAGGCAGATACCCACAGGAGTCCACGCAGCAGAGACCCCCAATGTGTGGGGGGAAGTCAGATACTTGCTGCCAGATTGCTGTCTCATCCCACCACAGGAGTGGGCCTGCTCCCTGCTGCTGGAGACAATGGACTACTTCTTTCTGAAGCTTGGGACCATTAGCTTGGTTCCTGTAGGAGGGGTTTATACCCTACTGATAAGGGTTCTTATAGAGACCACCCCCTAGACCATCCCCTCATTACTGTGTAACCTATAGTGCAGCCCCTCCCTGTAATTAGTGGGCTGGCATGCCCCCAAAAGTTCTATAGGCGTGAGTGAGCAATATAGGGCTCTTGGACCACTCGGACTCTGACCTCCCTGACTCTCTTCCCCCTCTCCCTTGTTCCCTTCCCCTCCCCTCCTTCCCTTCCCCCTCTCTCCACGTGGACCACCAAGCTGGGCTGAGGTGAGCAATGGTGCCATGTAACATGCCTGACTGTATTATTGTATTATCTCTCATGCTCTCGATGACTTTAATATAATACTTATATATCTCAACCGTACAATTGTGCATTACCGAACCCTGAAGTAGTATTACTGAATCCGAGTAGTAGTAATAGGAGTATTAACGGTGGGGGCTGGCCCCCCCACCCCCTCCCTCTGCGTCTTTGTTTTTTTAATTTAATACTACACCAATGAGGACGTTTCACCTCCAGAACCGGGAGCCCACACATTCCTGTTCTCTAAAGCCAGCTCCTCACACTAACACGTACTGCAAGTACCCACTGTAAACCACCACAAAACCCACCTAGATGAGGCCACATGGTCCACCATGACCTCGAAGCCAAGGTGAAAATGCAGCGGGCAGGGAAGCGGGATGAACGAACAGAACAAACACTGGAAGAAGAAAGCGACCAGGGTCACGGACCCTCAACACGCACACTGTCTCCGAAAACCCAATACAGTTCACTTCTTTAAAAAGCCACCTCTCCTTGGGGTGGTTCCCTCATGACAGCCCTTGAAGGGCTTCCCAAGGGTCAGCAGCTGCCCTGGGCTGGGACACGTGAGGATTGTGAGTCAGTGACCCCAGAGGCTGCTGTAGGCCTGAAGACTCCAGGGAAAAATAGGGACAAAATTCCCTGACAGGACAGATAAGCCGTGGGAGAAGGGACAAGTGGCTGAGGGCAAACCAGAACAGCATCACCCTCAACGATGACCAGGGAGGTAGGAGAAGAGAATAAGGATGTATTCCCCCCTAGACAAGGGGGTTTAAATACAAATGTGGAGTCTGTGGGGGCCGATCAAAGACACACAGCAAGGGCCACGGAGTTTGCAGGCCAGCCAGCAGCAGGGGTCGGGAGCCCTCTAGAGATGTTTATGAGCTCAGCTGACAATCCCACTTCTAGAATCCACCCTACAGGCCAGGTGGAAGTCCAGTCGGCCTGTGTCAGAAGACATTTCCCACCCTGTGAGCAGCTGGGGCTCCCCAGCAAGCACACGGTGCGCTGGGGTGCGTGTTCAAGACGGCCTGGAGGCAGTCGTGAGAATCTGCGTGTGCTCATAAAGCAACACGGAACGTTGTTCAGATCCTCAAACACGAGCCGGTTTTACGTGTCCACAGCAATGAAGGCCACAAGGGACTCACCAGTCCATGATGTTGGTGGACAAGGCGGCGGAAAAGCCCAGCACGTTGAAGCTCAGCTCCGTCGCGGTGCACAGCGCCAGCCCGCCCATGACTGGGATCAGTGAGAGGTTGACCAGCAGCCCTGAGGGAAGCGGAGACCACACGGTGACTGGGAGCCTGAGGCTAGATGCCGAGGCGGCTCTTATTTCTTCTGCATGGAACTTATGGCCTTTTAAGTCAACTGAAACACTAACATATATCCCAGGGGTCTGGAGCCCGGTGGCACAGTGGTGAAGCATTCAGTCCCTAACCAACAGGCCAGCAGCTGGAACCCCCATGTGCAAAAGTTGTGACAGCTGGCTTCCCTAGAGATTTATAACCTAGGCTGCCCTCTAGAACCCCATGAGCTGGAATCAACTCAACGGCACTGAGCTTGGTACCAGTTCACATCCATCAAGGCAGACGTTATCCCAAAGACACTCAGGGACGAGTGTGGAGAGGATGTGGAGAAACTGGAACCTTCCCCCATTGCCGTGAGAACGTAAGGGAGTGCAGCTGTGTGGAAATCCAGTTTTCGTTTACTCAGAAAACTAAACAGAGAATGAGCATGGTCCCCAGCAATTCCACTCCCAGGTACAGACCCCGAAGGAAACCCCCTTCCACACAGAAACGTGTACGTCAGTGTTGACAGTCCCGTTGGTCAAAAGAGAGACTCTGGACAGAAAGTGCGCCTCGACGGACAAAGGATGTGTCCGTGTGGTGGAACGTTGCTCAGCCACGAGGAAGAATGAGCTACAGTGTGGGTGAACCTTGGAAACCCCGTTGTGGTTAGACGCTGTCCAGCTGGTTCCCATTTACAGGGACCCCGAGTACAAGGGGACGAATCACTGTCCCCTCACAATTGTTGTGATGCCTGAACTGTTAGTGCTCGTGCGTTCATGATCCATCTTGTTGAACACATTCGTCTATTTCCCTGGCCACTTTCCAAGCACTAGCCTCTCCTGATAATATGTCCCAGGGGCGTGGGGTGACGTCTCACCACACACGCTTCCAAGGAGCATTCTGCCTGCACTTCTTCTACGACAGGCTGGTTTCTGCTGCGGCTTCACCAGCATTCTAACTCACATGTGTGCCTTCTCCTTTGGCCGTCCTGATTCCCTGCTTAGCTTTCCCATGTGGATGAGGAGACTGAAATACCATCGTGAGTATTTATACTGCGTCTGAAGTGGAAATACTTTAAAAGAGGTCTTGTGCTGGGGGAAACGATCGTGATGATCCACCTGTAGCCCTCTCCCTGCGAGTACCGTGTCGTTCACGTTCAGCAAAAGGGGACAGACCCTCTGTGCCCAGGCCGGTCCACGCTGACCTCCCAAGAACCCGCCGTCGTCCCTTGTCACACACTGAACACTGCGGTCCGGAGCAGGACCTTGCGGGCCTGTGGTTCGTCTCCCCAGTGATGACCTTGTGAGTGGCACACAGAGGACCACTGCCAGTCCTGCACCATCTTCCTGCCGGTGGCTGTGTCTGAGTCCCTCCTTACAGCTGTGCCACCAACCCGCCTCGAGTGTCACCGTACTCCCTCCCAAGGGGCCTTCTCGCTGTACATCCTGGAGACAGAACCCGCAGGGCACACTGCAGTCACTGCCCTGGCCAGCAACTGCAATTGAAGGTATCGACTCTTCTTCCCGCTTCCCTGTCCAGTTCTCACATGCAGGGGAGGTGACTGAAAAGGCCAGACTGGAGTCAGATACGCCTTAGTCACTGGAGTGGCACCTTGGTCACTTAAGATGTTAAAGAGGTCTGTTGCCGCAGGTCTCCCCGGGGCAGCTTGTTCTTTAATTTCTTGACGGCTGCTTCCGTGAACGAACCTGGACTGTTCGATGAATGGAGACGAATGGATAATTGATTGTTGATTTGTGAGTAAGCACCGACCATGTTCCATTTTCCCCCCTTCCATTTGTCAGGGCATCGTTTATGGGGCTCTGTGGATAGAACGACTGAGGAAGCACTAAAGGAAGAGACCACGGCATCTCCACAATTGAGTCAATGTAGCAAACCCACAAGTGCCCTGTGGTGGAGAGGGCCGGGGCTCGAGAGAGAAGCCTTGGGTGTATCCGAAGGAAAATACTCGTTTTCTGTCATTTGGGCTTGTCTCTGGCCTGTCTGGAATTTTCTGTTGGATGATGGACCATGTGCTTTTAGCCCAGAGAGAGAGCTGGTGGCTCTGGGTGCTGCTTTAGTGAGGACTTGCTTCAGTCCCGGGCAGGCAGCAGGCAGAGGTGTGTACGGCTACTCCACCCAGCGGATTTCAGCCGATTTGATTCGCGTTCTACAGGAAGCTCCCCGCAGGCTGGCCTTGCCCGCCCAGCCCCACGAGCCTACCCTGCTCCCATTCTCTGGCCCTGCGCAGAGACCAGCACGTGCCTTGAGCACTGCTGAGTGTCAGGGTCACGTTGCTGGGTGACGCTGAATCCTGGGTCCCTCAAGTCTCCCCGACTTGTTCTCCAGTGCCCCCAGTTATTAGATTTCATCAGGGTGTCCTTGTTGTTCACAGCAAGGGAGTGTATTAGATCTGAGCTTGCCCACCCCGGGGGTGGGGCGGGGGTGGAGCGCGGGGGCGGGCCAGATGATGACTCTCTGCCATCAACGGAAACAAAGTCCCTCTGAGTGGCTCAGTTACCGCCAACATGTGTGCCTTCAAGCTCATTTGCTTTCATGTTGCGAGTGAGTTTTAAGACTTGCTTTCTGCATGTGGACTGCATTTCTGTCATCACATCAAATAAGCCCATGGTCCCCAAAGGACCCTGGTGAGGTGTCTAGCAAGGGCCCTGTTCCCTCAGCCTCCCTCCTGCTCCCTGGTGATGTGATGCCATGGTCCAAAGACCTCCCTGTTTTCAACACAAACGCAAATACATCGCATCTTCCTGATCCGCAGATTCCATGCTGGCAAAGGCGCCTATGTGTAAGGTTTCGTTTGAATGCCAGACTCAACATTCCTGGGGCGTCTGTCTGCAGGCGTGTGCAGAGCAGGAAGCACGTGAGCGGCTGCATGGCGCGGCCCGGCCGAGGCCCAGCAAGGCGACTCTGTGCGTCCTCTCCCAGCTGGCCCGCGTGGACCCGCGTCCTTCTCACAGTCTAGTTTGAGCGCCGAGTGACTTCTGTTAGTATTTTGTGGCGCCTGTTGGTGATGTCACTGCTGACTGCTGTCCAGTATCCCCAAAGACAAGAAGGTGCTGACGGGTCCTCTAGAGAAGAGGGGTCTTCGAGGTGAGCTTTGTGCAGTGCGAGTTCGATTGAGTCTCACGCTGAGGAGGCAGCAATACGTAGTAGGTCAAGTGTTCTTTACACAGAAACACATAGAACACACAGGGAGGCGCTGATCAAGTCACAGGAATGTTGTGACCAGAGGCTCGCGGGGAACTCATCCTCTGGTTCCCTGGGAGCAAGGAGAACTTGCTAAGTGCAGGTTCCCAGTGGCCTTTGTATAGAAAATAATCGACTTCACATGTCTCACGAATCTCTGCCGCGCCTAGACAGCAGATCAGGTGTTAAACACCACACTGGGCACCGCCTGCCTCTGTGTAACAATCCTGGAGGCACTGTTTTCCAGAAGGCTGGCAGGTTAAACCAGGGCACGTGGGGTTTGCATGTGGCTGGGAACAACGGTGAGTCTGCAACACCTCTGGGAAAGAAACCCAATTTGCTGAGCCTGGGGCAGCATCAGGGAGCCAGGGCAGCAGTGATCAGAAGTGGTCCAGGAACTTGTAGGCCAGAGGGGCAGAGGGGAGAACCCAAGGAGGGTGGTCACTTTGAGAGGAGTTGCAGGTGGTCAGGTGGCTTTCCAGTCTGACCCTTCCTCACCTGGCGCCGTGTGGAGAGGACACTGGCTAGCCTCTGGGGACCCAGTCCTTCCTCCACCACCTCTGCTCTTTGAATCGACACCAGGGAAACCTGGTTTATTAATTACTCTCCGTCCCTTCAGTCGGCCCAGGCCAACACCACAAAGGGACAAGGAGAGCCCAGCAAGAACAGAATGAACCATCTACTCATGACCCCTACGAACCTATTTCTGAGGGACAGGGGGCTCAGAACAGACTGTCCGGCACGATGTGGGGCTGAGCGTGGGCTGACAGGGCAGCCAGAAACCAGACAGTAGGATTCTGCTGCTGCTCAGTCTTAGGCCTAGCCGGCAGGGCCAGCCACACCGTCATGGGGGAGCAGGAGCCCGGAGAGGCAGAAGGTGGAGATGAGCCACGTTCCCGGCGTGTGCGGGTATGTGCAGGGCTCCAGGGGGCTGCTCACCCGTGTACTCCCCCAGGATCATCCGGGACATGATCACCGTGAAGATGGGAGCCGAGCTCTTCACCGTCTCGGCGAAGGACACGGCCACATTCTTCAGGCTGACCAGCCCCAAGACCACGGTGGCGAACCTGCAGGCAGGCAGAGAAGGGCATGGGTGTGCAGGGAAGGCATCCACCCGCCGTCAGCTCCACCGGGGAGCCTGTGTGGTAGCCACGGCCTGTCCCTCATCCTTCTCATCCCACCTCAACCGCCCTTCTCCCCACTCCCTCCATCTTCTTCCCCTCCTGCTTCCTCTCCCTCTCCTCTCTCCCCTGGTTCCTTGTTTCCTCTCTCCCCAGCCCCGCATCCTGCCTGCGGCCCCACAGGAGTGCTTGGGTCCCTTTCCCCATGTTTTGTGGGGAGCCCAGCTGGACACAGCCCTGGCCCCAGCGATGCCTCGGTGTCACCCGGGGAGGAGCGTCGTTGCCCTCGCTCCCTTAAACTAAGCCATCACAGCTGTTCAGGGGCAGGACCGGGGACATGCAGCCCGTGGGTCGTATACCAAAACCACACTCAGTGCCCGGGTTCATTTGGACTCAAGGCCCCCATAGGGCAGGGTCGAACTGCCCCTGTGAGTTGCTGAGACTGCCGCTCTTTACAAGGAGCCCACCACAGCAACCCCATGACACCTCCCCGACTCCTCCCCACACCCCTGGAAACTACCAGTCCCAGCTCACCTCGCACACCTCCCCAAGGAGAAGCAGTTTCAACCATGGCATTACCAAAACCCACACCAAACTCATGCCATCGAGTCAGGGGTGACTCAGGGTGGCCCTACAGGACAGGGTAGAACCGCTCCTGTAGGATTCCGGGAGTCCAATTCTTCACAGGAGTAGAAAGTCTCCTCGCCCACCTCAACCCACCCCCGGAGCCACTGGCGGTTTCAAACTGCTAACCTCAGACCCGCACGTAACCACTGTGCTAGCGGGACTCCCATGGGCAAATTCATTAAATGGTGACCAGAAGGGCCCACAAGGGATGTTATACATATCCCAGGAACCCTTGGCAGGAAAAAGGCTCATCCCACTTGGTAAAGCGGAGGGGCAGCGAAGAAGAGCAAGGCCTTCCACAAGCTGGGCTGACGCAGGGGCTGCAACAATGGGCTCTGTCACAACGGCGCTGAGGCTGGCGCAGGACGGGTGGGGCTTTGTTCTGTGGTGCACGTACACGGAGTCCTGCGGAGTCGGAACCAGCCCACCAGCACCTAACAGAAACAGCCACCCGGCTCTAGAGCGCAGGCGCCCACACTTAGTTGGCTTCCTGCCCCCTTTTTGGAACAAAAAAGAAACTATTCAGCACCCTCCTGGAAATGGCACATTTTTGTATCATAGTCCATAGTCCTGGGTAAAGTGTAGGTACTGCTTTTGCAGGCCTCCCCCTCCCCCCACCCCTGGTCGTTCCTGCACCTCCTTGACTTTGGGAAACAGTGCTCTGGAGGGAACTTTTGCCGGTGGCATAAGACCCACAAAGGCAGACCCCCATGAGGCCCAGAAGGCCAGCGGGCCTGGTGTTTTCCCGGGCTGCATGAGTCTCCCAGCCCGAGTCAGCGGGGGCCCTCTCACAGGGCGGGAAAGGCGTTGTCACTGAAAGCTTAGACATGCCCCCAGCCGTCGTCCTCGGTCCTTACCGCATCAGACCCACAAAGAGCATGGTCATGATGAAGTTGGGCGGGTAGGAGAGGCGGCTTTTGTGTTGATACAAACAGCAGGGGACGAAAATCTTGACGCAGCCAATGAGCGTGGTGGACAGCATTTGCACGGCACCTGGGCAGAAGGGGAGACCCAAGCTAGAAGGGAGCCCTTCCTCTCCTGGACTCGGGGGGAGGGGCAGGCTTGGCAGGGGTGGGGGTGCCCTTCCTCTTCAAGTGCACAGAGCACTGTCCTGACCTGTCACGTGTCCTGGCCCCCATGGCTTCTCAGGGGAGAGGCCTGCCCCCATCCTGGCCCCTTCAGGACTCACCTCCCTCCCTCCCTGGCCACCACCTGCTCTCTCCATTCCCACAAGGGAATGGTAATTGGGGGTGTGAGGCAGCGGTGACCGGTCAGACTTTTCACCTTCCACCCTGGAGATCTGGGTTCCATTCCTGGCCCAGGCAGCTACCACCTACCAGTGGAGGCTTTTGTATAGTGTGAAGATGCTGAACAGGCGTGAGTGGAGCTTTCTGACCAAGAGGGACTCGAAAGAAAAGCAGCCACGAACATCTCCATGGCTCCCCCAGGTCCGAGCCACAGCCCAGGGGCCGGCGGGTCAGGCCGGTGTGCACCAGGGCACGGCGTGTCGGCGCTGACTCCACGGCAGTGCCAACAACCCCGTGGGGTCTTGAAGGAGCGGGCGCCCAGACTCACCCAGCATGCTGGGCTCCCCTTCCAGCAGGGACAGGATGTACTTGTTGAGGAAGAGGGTGCAGAAGCTGAAGAAGAACCACAGGCTGAGGTAGAGCAGGGCCCGGGAGCTCCAGACGCCCAGGTCCGACTCGATGACCGTGGTCTCGGTGATGGTGACGGTGAGCACGCTCTCCTCCGCGGGGACGCCGTCGCTCTGGGTGAGGACGAGCTTCTCACTGCGAGGGCCGAACAGGAAGCCCCAGGGCAGAGAAGCCTTTCCTTTGGCCTTCTCCTCCGGGCTCGGCAGGACCTCCTCCAGGGCGGGGGGCTTCGTTAAAGGCGACATGCTGGGACCACAGCCAAAGAGGGCGTGCTGGTCTCAAGGACGGGCACCATGGGCTGGCGCAGAATCCCAGAGCCAGGGCACTGCCGAGCCGACGGGCGGAAGCATGAGGCCGGCATGCGCAAGGGAACCTGGGCCCGGAAGTCCTCTCCTTCAGCAAGCCGTGGGGTCGGGGCTGCAAAGTTAGTTAGAGGAGAACACTGTAAAGTTCTTTAAAATGCCACCGACGCTCAACGCCCACCCTCACCGCCATGGAGTCGATGGCACAAAGGGACCCTCCAGGGACACATAGGGACCCTCCCTGTGGCTTTCCGAGGCTGGGACTCTTTACAAGAGTAGAAAGCCCCGTCTTTCTCCCGAGGAGCGGCTGGGGGGTTTGAACTGCTGACTTCGTGGCTGGCAGCCAAACGTGTCACCCACCATGCCACCAGGATTCCCCAGAGAAGCTGGTGATGGAGAATCTGGCAGTGACTTTGGGTGATGGTTCAACAAGAGGAAGGTCATGGATGTTGCCTAACTGTACGCAGACAAGTGTGGGGCTGTGGATCTAGTTTTCATTCCACATTCTACCGATCGTGCTGCTGGGGATAAACACCGCAAAACACACGCCAAATCCATAGCGCCCTGGGTGGGATTTAGTGACGAGTTAAGCGTCTTCGAGTTGCGCAACCAACCTCGTGTCCTTTGTTAAACTGATCCTCCTCAAACGCAAACCAAATACACTCGCTGCCACCCAGTCGATGCCGCAAACTTTGCAAACTTTGCTGTTGGGAGCCACGGAGAGTCCAAGCTTGGAGTCTGCGTGACAACTGATGGACATTGTGTCCATGGTAGCACTTTTGAGAATTAAACTTGTGACACGGTAACAACACCAGTTTCCTCCCGGCCTGGGTGGCTCAAACCCAACCTGTTCATTCCTTCGAGAATTAAAC